TGTAAGAATTCTGGTTCTGATTTCACCGTGTTTGCTGAAGCTCTGCATACTCAAAGGCAGTGACGCGTGGCGTGGAGGCGCGTGAAAGCCAGGCCCTCACCGCTGCCAGTCAGAGACACAGAACATCCTCCAGCAAGAGTCCAGTTGCTCCTTAGGTGAAAGTGATACGGTAGAATGGACATAAAATTTGGATCCACTTTCATATCAAATCACTGCACTTCCGTTTGCTAGTTCTTTGAACATGTGCAAGATACTTAGCCTTTCGGAGCCTTCGTTGCCTATTTATAAAACGTACTAAGAATACTTATTTTGTTGAGTTTAGATTTAACATCTATAAAGTGCCCCGGACACAATAGATGCTCAGAAAATATGAACTATACAGATAAAAATCGTTGTTGTCTTTATTGCCAATTTATTTGAGCTTAAAAAAAGGGTCTCATCCATTTGAGATATCAAAGAATAATTGTTTGGTAAACCTGGCTCAGCATCAGGAACAAAGAGGAAAAGTATTTTTTCTGTGGCCAACACAAGCAGAAATAAAAACAATAGAGAAAATAGTGGGTAAGGGAGAGATTGTCTAGTGAGAAAGTAGGTATAATGCTCAAAGGGCAGCCCTTGAAACAAAACTTATGAATAAGCCCCGAGTTTGTAGATGTGAATCACACTGAAGTCTTAGCCACGGAAATTCTCCAGGGATTTCAGCGGTCCCTGCAGTAGCTTGTTTTTCCTGGGCTTCTCCATGGCCTTATGTCTCTGCCTGCTGCTCAAAGAGTCAGGGAAGGAGAAAATATTGGAAACATTATGTAACATAAAATCATGGCACAGTTTGAATTGTGGTTAGCTCTGTGGTTATGTCCATATGGCTGTTTGCTGAGGGTCACGGGACCAATGTAATAACTTCTCTGGAATCATATAAAATTAGTTAAAACATTTTTTCTTAAATATTCTAGATTATGCATAAGTATGTTTCCACAAAGATAACAGAATTATAAAATAGAATTGCTTTGAAAGTTAGGCTCTGTAGAAAAAGGAAGAGAATCACTCTTCTCAGAGCTGTTCATGCCTGGTCTGTTTCTGTTTCCAGTTAATTCGAAGGCAGATAATCTCTGATCGCTAAGTGTTATTTAATCATAGAAATGCCTTCATGATAGCAGTTGGGATTTATTTTGTAACTGGAATCTTCAAATGCTTGATGCGTTTGTCCTTCCGTTAGGAGCATCAGTCAAATATTTAAGGAAACATTTATTAAAAGTGGAATTATTGTAGCTCAGATCCTGAGCACACAAATATAATGTATATAATTTCTATAAATATATTTTACATATGATGTATGGTAAATATACTTACAAATTAATTATGACTGTTATATTTTTAGATGAATTTAGGTTTTAAAAAAATTGTTTTTTCCTTCATTGATTTTAGAAAGAGAGGGAGAGAGAGAGAGAAACATCGATGAGAGAGAACATGGATTGGCCACCTCCTGCATGCCCCCCACTGGGGATCAGGCCCACAACCTGGGCATGTGCCCTGACCAGGAATCGAACTCACCAGGTGACCTCCTGGAGCATGGGTCGACTCTCAACTCCTGATCCACATCGGCCGGACTAATTCAGTTTTATTTAAAATTTTAGTTTCAGATAAACTTTAAAATTTCTAACATGCTACAGATGGTTATTTTAATTTCATAAGTATATTCATTGATATATGTCTCCACGAGTTTAGCATTTAAGACTACATTAGAACTTCGAAATAAGAATGATGCTAAATAAAACCTTCTCATTCTGACACTAATGGAAAGAGATGCCTGCTGCTTTCGTGGTTCTCCCCTTGTAGTAGAGACCTGTCTGTGGAGCTCACTCGTAGGGTGCTGTGTTTGAGAATAAACAGGAGAGCTCTATTTAGAGAAGTTCAACAGACAGGAGCAGAAAAGTAAGTGGGGCAGGAAGACGTCCTTTTGTTCTAGGCTTCTAGAAGGAAAAGCAGGCCCCATGCTCCAGTGCATATGGAGCTTGTGCTGTAGAACGCAGAGGAGAGCCAGGGTCACCGAGTAAGGGGAGAGTGGTAATAGGTCAGACTGGACAGGGACAGGAACACCGAATTAGGTAGCACCATGTAGATGGTGATTATGGCTAGTGGATCTTTTAAACAATTGTTCATACTTAATGAATTATTTTCACATATTCATTCTTTAGTATTAGATTCGTTCTACCTCATATTCTGGAGACATCACAGAAGACTGTAAAACTGTTTTTCATACTTCATTTTTTTTTAATGGACCAAGATTTAAAAATATCCATGGTGAGCACTAACATGTTCTTTTCAAGCAAATTATTCCTTTTTCATAGGTATTGTGAAGGACCTCAGTGAATGGAATTTGAATGTGGGGAAGCTGAAAATGTCTGTTTTCTCTCTAATCCTAGGAAACATTGTCTTTTTTTTAAAACTAGGAATGAGAATCATACTCTTAACATAATTGGTTACACAATAGACACAATGAGAATCAATTGAAAGGAGAGAGAAGTAGGGATAAATTAAGGACTAAGAATTAGAAACATTTTGGTGAAAGTATCAGCACTCTACTTCTTCGGTTACTTCTATATTTTCTATTACCAGATTTTTAAAAAATGTTGCTTTATGTGTTAAAAATCATTAGGATCAAAACTATCTCTATAAGAAGGTCCAATTTTTAGCATCATGATAATAAGTATATGAAAGACTGTTTTTAATTTGTTTACTTTTATAATGTCAAGTTTATTATGTTTATTTACAAAGGGAATAATTGAAACTCCTACTAAGCCGAAACTAGAAATAGTTATATATTAGTTTATTTATATAATGTTAATACGAAAAATCATAGGTTTACCCCACAGTTGGGTGGATTGAAGCCAAGCAAACATAATAAATCAGGCTAAGTTCCATGCAAAACAATAAATATTCTTAATATATTCATAGGATACTGTCATGTCCTTACTTAGAAATATTTATCAAAATTACATGGCTTTGCCCTGGCTGGTTTTCTCAATGGTTAGGGCATCGGCCTGTGGCCCAAAGAGTCTGGGGTTTGGTTCCTGCAAAGGGCAGGTACCTTGGTTGCAGTTTGTCCCCAGCCCCAGTTGGGGTCGTGTGGGTGGTGGCCAGTCGATGTGTGTCTCTCACATCAATGTTTCTCTCTCTGTCCTACCCCCTCTCTCCCTCCCACTCTATCTGAAGATAAATGCAAAAATGTCCTCGGGCAAGGATAAAAAAAATTATATGGCTTTGATATTGATATTTGATTAAAGCCTGACTTAGAAAGTAGTTATTTTTGTTGAATATTATAGCTACTGTTGAGTTATAGTAATATTTAGTAATGTATGCTATTTAAGGAGTACAGATTTTCATTGTGATTATTAGAGGGGTTTTTTTGTTTGTTTCTGTTTTTATATTGAGAATAACTCTGATATGATTATCGAACTGGAAATCTAAGGACATTTACAGACTTTCAAGGAAATGTTATTATTTTTAAAGTTCAAGGAGATTATTTTTAGATAGGCAACCTAATACTTGACACACCTTATTAGAAATTATCTAATATGAGACTAACCTCATGGATATTCCTGCCCATGTTGTTGCAGGCAGTTAGTGGATTTGGGTTTTTAATAGTACAATAATTTAAAGATACATATATTTCAATACCTGCTTGGTGTAAATCTCATGAAACTCTGATTCATTTATTCAGCATATATTTATTGAATATATACTAGGTGTTTGGGATAAATCAATGAGCAAAACAGAATTGTGAGACATCCTGGAATTAATATTCTAACCATACAAATTAGGCTAGGATAAAACAGGTGATAAGAATATAAAATCTGGGCTTGCCAATATTTCTATGAAATAAAAAATGGTTTAATATTGATTTTAATTTCCACACTAATTATTATATCTACAACAAAGCATGGAAGAGCATTCAATTTACTTGATGTCAAAGGTGCGACCTGCAAATATTAGACTATCTATTCTCTTTCTTAAATTTACTGTAAGTTATGTTTTAATTCCTGAAGCTACCAAACATTTTGCAGACATTTACGTAGCCATATGCATTTTTTAAATGTTTAGAAAACTTTCCTACTGACTACCTTCTACTATAGGTTTTAAAACTTGACATTTAGACATATTTTATATAAGTATACTTAATGTTTAGACCACACACTAAAATGGTCAGTTTAGAGGATGTAACATTTGAAAAATAGGCTGATGTTTTACCTCTGTAGTTGTAATTTCCCATTTCTTATCTCTGATTCATTCAAATGCATTTATTGAATATGTCTGGTATTTTATTTACTTTTCTTTTTCACATACTGTATATTTCTCCATTGGTTAAAGTTGAGTAATACATTTTCATCTTAACATTTAAGTGTTTGATTAATCTTATGTTAAGGGGGAAAAGTCATAGTTCATTAGTAGTGATGAAATAACCCAGGTGGCTTTCATATAAATAGCAACAAATATGCACAATAGTTACATTATATGGTATATTTAACAACACTGCTAAGGAGTAAGATGGGAACTCGGTCTTTCGTGATGAAGATACACCTGAATGCATCCTGAGAAAATTTAGTTCTGCAAGCTTGAAGAAAGTAATTGTCATTCAACAGAAATCAACTAGCTTTGCATATCAATAAAGCACACACACATACTCTTATCTATTTTCTGAGCGCTCCGGAACTGATATCAAAATAGCAAATATATATTTATGAGAACTAGAAATGCTGTATTCTTTCTGATCACACGAACTCAATGTAATTATGAAATTAACTTTGAGAATATGTGGGAACCCTGGCCAGTTTGGCTCAGCGGTTAGAGCATCGGCCCACGGACCAGAGAATATGTGGGAAATGTTATTTCCTAATCAAGAGAGAATAAACCCGACAAATTTTATATCAGGCTAGGTAGTATTTATAGTCACATTTGTTTCCCAAATGTCATATCATTAATTACTTTTTATTGTTTACTTTTAGATGGAAGACTGTATTTGAAAACTACTGTCATGTACTGAATCTTTCCCGCTGAAGAAATCCATGTTCTAGTAAAGAACTTTGCAATCAGACATTCATCATTGGAAAGTCCAGGAAAAAAAAAATAAAATAAAGTCCTTTTAAGGGAACTTCCTCAATTTTGTGTATTAACGTTCTTTAAAAGTTTAAGTATTCTACAAAAAAAAAAAAAAAGTTTCTCCATTGATTTTCACCTGTGGTTTATACCAGAGACCTGAGAATGTTTGTAGATGTACAAGTATCAAACTTCTTACAATTAATAACTGCAACTTTGCTGCTGGACATTGTATACAGAGTTCACGGCAGGTCTGTATGAGACCTAGCTTTGTTGTTGCTTTTTTAAAAATGGAATGAACCATTTTCCTCTTCTGAAAATTCTGTATCCGAGCACATGAAAATCTCTTGCAGCAGTGGTCACCCAGACTTACAGAATTATGTCCTCCGGAAACCAGCAAGGACACTTGGAAATGAACTTGTAGGAGGCATGGAGGATTCCTTAAAAATCAGTACAATAAAGAGTAATATTCTGTTACATTCACATTTTAAACTCTCCAGTTGTGGGTTTTCTCCTGAAGATGTTTTTTCACATACTTTCCACAAGGCCAACAAATGGATGTTGACGACAACCCAGTGAAATAACATTTGGAGTATCTGAAAAGAGGCATTGAATTTAAGCCAAAAGGTTTCACTGAACGTCTTTTTTCTTTAACACACACACACACACAAATGTTTTCATTCCAGACTGGTAGTGGTATATAGAATTAAAAATAATAATGATGCTTCTTATTCAAACTGTTGGTCACGTGTACAGTATATAAACATAAAACATACAAGGAAGGTATTATGTATGCAGTAGTATACTAGAGTTTAGGAAAATGAAAATTTTAGAAAATACGTTTTGTCACCCTGTTGGTCAGAAAGACACCTTTCTGGTTTTAGCGCATGCAGGCATGTAAATATTTGTCTGGAGTCACAGTATTAATGAATGAGATCTTAAACGTCTGGTGACATCAGAACTCTGGGTCAGCCATTTCTATTTGTATATTGAACCCGAGCTAGTGCCCCAAACTGCACTATTGAGAATGGATTGTGGCTGAACCGTAGATTGAAACACCAGAAATATTTTTATATGTTAATGTCATATTATGTTAATGTTGCTGAAAAACAAAACCTAACAAACCCTTGATGTATCAGTCCAATACCATGTAGCGCTGAGTGATAAAGTTAAAATGTGCTGTGCTTCCCACCCTGGTCAGAGGGAAGGGTGCCTACGTGTTATTTTCACTGTCTTTTGAAAGTTACAGTATGTGTTTTCACTTTGTGCAGATAACTGGAAGTAAAGCTGCAAACAGTGCATATTACATGCTGAAGTTACCTTCTCTTTGGTTTCACGCATCTGCAATTACACCTTTAAAGACTGATGCTACGAATCAGTACAGTTGCTATATATTTTACGATTTTGCTGTCACATTAAAAGTTTATGATCATAACGTTATTTATTACCATAAACAGCAAAATCTTAAATGTCCAAGAAACCTAGCTTAAAATGTTTTAACGAGTTTGGATTTGAATTAATTATTTCGTTAAGAGAAAAATATTATAGATACTCTGGCAGTAAGCTTCTATAGTTTTTAGGTCTTCCTTGCAATATTGGAACATACTTCTTTTGTGTAGCTCACTATTAACCAGCTAAGTCCATTTTTAAATACAATGAAAAGGTTATATATACAGTTCTTATTTTAGCTTGCTTAAAAGGGAGCACTATTTTTATTTAAGATATTGTTAGTAAATGCTTTGTAGAAACTTGGTTTTCTAAGCATAGTTCTTCCATTAACCATCTCTTGCTGTTTGAGCATGAGATTCTGATCCTCCTTGTATCTATTTCTTGTTTTTCTGTATGCAGTCTTTAAAGGATTACAACACTTACAATGGGAGGGGCTTGTGGCAAGCTTTTGAATCATACATTTTTTGAACGATTTTTAAAAAGCTTACAACTTACATATGTAGTAGAATCAGCCATTGCTCTGCTCCTTGCATAGAGTCACCTGTTAAGTAGGTTAAATAGTTTAAAAATACATGCTTCCAAGATCTTTGAGAATGCTTTAGTATTTGGTTTGATATAAAAGGAAATTTTAGCAAGGATTAAAGAAGAGAGCTATCAGCTATATGTTAAGAGAGAATCTTACTAACACTGTTGTAAATATTACAGTTCATGAAATGTTATTTTAAGTCTGTAACTTAAGTTTTTCCCCCCTTTTTTTAGTTACACAGGTTGGTTTGAAATTTGTTTTTGGTATAAACAAGTAAAATTGTGCCCATTTTATAGTTTCCATGCTTTTGTAATCCTAGAAATATTAATGTCTAGTTGTTCTATATTATAACCACATTTGCGCTCTATGCAAGCCCTTGGAACAGAACATACTCATCTTCATGTAGGACCTATGAAAATTGTCTATTTTTATCTATATATTTAAAGTTTTCTAAAAATGATAAAAGGTTATTACGAATTTTGTTGTACAAAATCTGTACAAAAATCTGTTTTTACATCATAATGCAAGAATTGGAAATTTTTCTATGGTAGCCTAGTTCTTTGAGTCTGGTTTCAATGTGAGAACCACGTTTACTGTTATTGTATTTAATTTTCCTTTTCTTTTCAACAATCTCCTAATAAAACTGTCTGAAATCTCCCTTTGACTTTATTTACAGTTCGTCTTTATTAAATTTTGTGAAATGCATAGCATTGAAGGAATATTTACTTTCTAATGGGAGGCATCTGAAAACAACATAAGTCAGCTCTTTGCAATGTGAGGGAACAATGCTCAATGATTTTATTTAACATGCAACTGCTTCTATCTCTAATATGAATTACTGTGGTGAAAAACATCATAAAAGCATACTCTGTAGTTATTGTTTAACAAGCAGATTTTCCATATTTTGTTTCTTGCCAGCTAAGCAAACTGCCCACATATACATGATTTATTTATGTACATTTCTCAGTTTATGAAGCTGTTATTTGTACCTTTTTCCTTTATATTCTTATATTCCCATGATTCTTATTTTACAAAGCTTTGTGCTGAATAATGTAAAGTAGACATGTTGATGGAACAAAATATATTATTCCCATATCTATGAGTGTATATTTGTAATTCTAACTCAGTGTTTTGGTTTTGATCTCGATCACTGGAAAAAAATGCCTTTTAGAAACTTGGAAATTTCAATATCCTTTAATAATATATAAACATTTTAATCAATCCACAATGCAGCATTTGAAGAAATATTGGGTTGCTATCTCTGTGAATATTCTAAACACTCCCAAGAGAATGGAAAATGGATATTTTTTTCTGTCTAAAGAAATTATTTTAATAAATTGACAAATTATGATCTCTCCCTAATAACCACCCAAAATGTTTATGTGACCATTACAAACACATTTTGTCTTCTGTCATCGTATGTTTATGTCAGTAAGACCTGTACTGGAACAGAATACAGTCTGGATGTTCGTGGAATGTGGTGATGCTTTACAGTTTTCCCAATGTGTTTCTCATTCGGACTAGCAAATTTACAATCTACACAAAAGCTATTTATTACTAGAGGAGAGTAAATTATAAATAAAAGTTATATAAATTGCATTCTTAAAATATGGGAAGTAGAGATGTTAATAGAATTAAACATATTGTAAATGGCATTGTAAAAATATCATTTTTCCTCATGTGTAGGCTCGGTGCTAACATTTATCTTTAATATGTACAACTGGTATATAAAAGCGAAATTGATCCTCATTTATTCGTTTAAACAGATTCACTAATAAAACCTCTATTCTGCACAAGCACTGTGCTAGGTGTTGTAATGACTGGAACTGAAGCACGGCTGTTGTCCCAGAGGAGCTTATAATTCTGTTGGAATCGGATCTTACTTTCGGCAAGAAAAGATGTATTGAGACTCTTCTACTCTAGTGAACGTATTGCTGGTCTGAAGAGGGTATTGACTCAGACACCTTCCCACTAAGGGATAACAGCCTACTGACCCACATTGCACCTTCACCAGTCTAGAGAACAGTACAAGGTATTTGGGGAGTCAGACAATTCTGTAGGGATTGAGAAGAGCACAGATACATTTTCCCCTAGGTAAAACACAATACTACTTATAGTTTTTATTTTTCAGTTTATTTTTCATTTATTTCGGTTACAGCATTCTTACCAATGCCCACAAACTTTGTTTTACAGTAGGTAGCCTGTTCACAAAAACTACCATTACATACAGTAAGTTCCTAATACAGTCAGCCTATTGAATATAGATGTGCAATATTCAGTTCTAATCTCCCAGCATCTATGTTTCTAGGGTAATTGCCTAAAATGATTCAAACACAGAGTGTAAATTCCTAAATGCCAAGTAAGTGCGTTAGATAATGAGCGACCCGTATGGTGGCAGCATCACTTAGTTAAACTATTGGCTCAGTTAGGACTCCTTTGGTTGGATGTAACAACAACAAACCCTCGCAAGGTTAAACACCAAAATTAATTGGTGATAAAGACAGAGAGGCACACATGCCAGAAATATAGTCCACCCCAGAGACCAGGGACCCTCTACAATGTTCACCTTTCTGCTTCCCTCAGTGGCTCTACTTCTTCATCCAGGAGCATACGGCCCAGCCCACTGAACTGATCCAGGCCTTTTCTCTCTGGTCCCCATGCAGATTCCCTGAGAACTCCGCTCCCCTCACCTCAGAGCCCATGCCAGGAAGGTAGCTTGGCAGTACATTAGATATATCTGGGGCATTTTAGAAACTATTCTGTCTAATCAAATTCGAATCTAGTGGTCGGAGTTGGGGCATCAGTATTTTTTAGTTTCTTGGGTGATTCTAATGAGCAGCTAAGGTTGAGGACCGCCATCTGGGAGGGTGGAAAGTATCACATTCTAGAAAACTACTAACGGATCTCTTGCAGTGGGGGGTTTGGAGCAGGGAGAGGGCATTGTGAGCTGTGCAGCAAACTCATAGTTCTGTAAAATTACTAAAATTGCATAAAAGCTGTAAAATATTTAATACGTTTTTAAGTAAGTCTACCATTGTGAACTTAATGCTAAAGTGAATATGAATTTGCAATCTTCCCAATGAGGTGCAATTGAAGTCACATTATTATTATCGTATTTTTCTAAATGAAAGTATTGATTAATCTGCTCCAGAACCAACTGCACAAGGAAGTAAAAATTCTATTTCAGTCATCATTGAAGCTTCCTCTGAACGCTCTCTGTCCAAACTATTGGGGAGAATCCAGGTTTGCGGGAGCAAAAATGATAACATACTTGTGGGGTAATTTTCAGTGTAGGGAGAGAAAATATTTAAGAAAATGATGTTATAAATGGGAGAGTATAAAGTCCTATGAAAGAAAGTAATGTTTCTACTCTTGAACTGGTAAAATATCAATCAATACAAGTATATTGTGGTAAATTTTCCGTATATGTTTGTAATACCTGGAGCAACCACTAAAAATGCTATATCAATATGACACTCAAAAGTGCTATAAATAAATCAAAGTGGGATTCAATACTGAAATAAGGTAAGCGCCTGCAAAACAGTAACTATATTTTCGTAATTCATCCCGCACTTGAAGCTTCTTTGCTAGTAGTTCCCAACTCTCTCTCAGGTACTTGGGCTGCTCTTTCAACAATGCTAATTGGGTATCAAACTTTGCTACATTAGTGACA